TTGTTTTTCCCTTTTTGGATTAGGAATGTGTTTGCTCTTGTACTGTATTTTAATATTCATTGCTTCAGCATATTGGAGCCACTTGACCTTTTGGTGGCACTGAGGTTAAGTTTATAATGAAAAACTATAAAAAACAGAAGTAATCTCTGAGGGTTTGGGAAGCCCTCAACCACAAGGCAGAAAACAGATCCTTTAGATTTATGGGTTGTTCTTGGCCGGTACATACAGTTAACATTTGGTTAAGATGAATAAAAGATAAAAGAAAGTTGCCTTTGGAAAGAGGGAACCCTTCTTATTAGAGCTCATGGTTCAGTGAAACTATTGATGAGAGTTGATTAAGGGAATGATTTGTAGAAACTGGAAGATGAAGATCTGAGATTCAGAACTGTGATTAGAACAAATCAGAGGGTTTTAATGTGTGATTCCAGCAGTCATCAGTTATCTTCAGGCATCCAGCTAAAATGTATCATTGTCCACAGAAAATAATTCATTTTTGGAACACCATTTCTAACTGTTAAGTGCTGTGTCCTTGATTACTGTCAGATAGGAGTTTAAATTTCTTACAAGGTCATCAGACGTTTTGTGAATGTTAACCTCTAAAAAATGAAAACATATCCATCTTAGGCCCCACTGAGATAGTAAATGCATTTTAAACAGTCACTTTGGTGCCACGGCGGGTGTGAAGGGGAAGAGATCAGGAGCTTTGCCCGATAAAAGTGTAAGAGGGCGAGGAGGATTAGAGAGCCCCTCCGGCTGTGTGGGCAGAGCCCCACCGGTCCGGCCTGAGCCCAGAGTCAGCCGGCCCGGGGTGGACAGCGGGTCCCGTTGAGGGAGGGAGTGCAGCCTGAGAGACGAGGGGACACCTCCCAGCCTGAGCCTTGATGTGGCCACAGGGAGTCCTAGAGGGCTGCTTTGCCCCCTGGCAGGTCTGACTTGGCTGGCATGTCAGCAAAGGTGGACCATCTGTGTACTGGGGAGCGGTAGGAACCAAGCATTCACAGGAAACAATGTTTTGACCTCGATCCAAATTACTTAGCCCTTCCCGCCTTGGTTCTTACATGTGTAACGTAGATCACTAGTCCTGCTCTTGCAGGCCAGGGCTCATTCTACGGCTCAAGTGTGGACTTGTGTTCTCAGGGCCATACAGCTGTCAGCTGTTCCCTGGTCATGTGGGGCCACACGTCTGTATTACATCTGAGTATTTTCTTTAAAAAAAAAATGGATGCTATAAGTGAGCTGCCATGTAAGTACCAGTCTTTTTCAGTAGTAACAGAAATGTAATCCATTGGTCTAACCTATGGGGGAAATACTTTTGGAACAAACAGCAAACCTAAGAAGTTCTTGTTAAATGATTGTTAGTGGAGTGCTGTGTGGAGAGCTCCAGCTGGGGGATCTTCACAGAGGAGGTGCGCTGACGACATTGCAGATACACTGAGGTTGCAGCGTTACTGTAGGTCACAAGTCTGTGCTTCCAGCCCTCGGTGACTAGCTCCAGGGATGGCAGCCCACTGCAGCTCTAGGGGTGTGCTCGTGACCCCCGTCTGAGGGCCCGCAGGCTGGGCGCAGAGAAGGGAGGCCATCCTGTGCAGTCCCCCAGGCCCTCGCCGTCTCCTCTGCATTGTCTTCATGGCCTGTAGCATTTGACGCTGCTTTCTTCTTCTTCACTGCATGTCTCCCCCAGCTCCCACCTCGGGAGAACGCAGAGCCCGTGAAGGCAGAGACGCTGGTCTCTTTACTCACGGCCAGGAGCAGTTCGTTGTGCAGCGTACGCTCTGAAGTGTTTGTAAAAAGGAGGAACATTGGTTTTAATTGGCGTGTGTAAATAAATGTCCAAGAACAAGCCCACAAGCAGCAGAGGCCGGGAGGTGGGCATGGCCTTCATAGAACATGTGCTTCCCTGGCAGAAGTGGCTGCCAGGCTGCTACCATTTATTTTTCGAGCTCTTTTTGAACTGTTGGTGGGCATCACTGTTCCCTTCACCTCTCCTTTTTTCTTTTGTTTTTTAACGCAGCAGTAACATTGAAGAAGATACAGTCCTCAAGACCAACAAGCAGATTTACTCCCAGCTCTTGAGAGCCACGGCTAACAAAAACACAGCCCTTTTGGAAAGAATCGACATCCTCGTCCACCTGCTGGATCAGCTTGCTCGCGGCGGGGGCGGCCCCGGTCAGTGACCCGCCTGGGCCGTGGAGGGGATGCTTCAGTGCCTTCTGTCCCTGGGGCTGCTGTGTCCATTTGGTGCTTCTTTTCATTAAATTCAAGGGTAATAGCCACGTAAAACAGGCACAGCAGTGGAAACAGAGTCCTTGGGTCCTGTGATGGGCAAATCACGGTCGAGTCCTTTGGCTTCATCTGAAGTGCTGAGATCCCAGTCAGACTTAACGCTCCCAGCATTCAGTTCTCTGAGAAGCATGTGGTCCTCGGTATCAGTGCGCGTCCTTGATGCAAATTACACTTTTAAACATTTTTGAAGTATGTTAGGCTACGTGGTTTAAAACATAATTATTTTGGTTAAATGTTACTTTGGTCCAAGGGAATTATCATCCAAATAATTTTGGTGGTTCAGGTGGGTTAAAGAAACTTCCTATACATCCACAGTGTTTCCTTCTAAATCGCATGGAAAGAGGTCTCCTTTTAAGCTTCAGCACAGGATTTTTCTAAGATTAGCCATTGTGCAATTCTTTTTAGTGCATGTTCTGAAGGGATCCGCTTTTCTTTGACCTTGTATGACAATTGATCAAAAATAGGTACTACCCCTTCCCCTTTTTCTCATTTTAAAACTGAAACTGTGAATAAGATAAGAAAACTATTTTGAATAAATAAATTATTTATTTAAAATGTCTTTGTATTTTTCCACTTCATGTTGTTCATACTGAGTTTTGAATTGGTTTAACTAATAAATTTTAAAAAGTAAAGATTAAAACAAAAAATAAACTTCTGTCATTTACTGAATTCTCACTAGAATATTCTGCCTTGCCGTTGCCTGGCTCTTGTCCAGTTTCATACACGCACTCTATTTTTCCATTGCCTACAGTGTATGACGCTGTACTTGTCCTGTCACAGTTAACCTTGAGTTCAAGAATTATAATACAATATAGAAATGAAGCAGACGCTTTCCTGTTGGGCTGTCAGTTGAGACTTACATGCATGATGCCCTGCCTCTGCGTCTGCTGGCCTGGGCCTGAGCGTAGGAAGAGAAGCTGCTGACAGTCCCCTTCCGTGCTGTCTGCAGGTGGTTTTCACCCCATGCACCCTGCATGTGACCTGGCAGCCCCTCCACTTGTCAGCTACTACTCAGAAGGAAACAACTGTGCCAGATGATTGGAATAAATTTGTTTTAAGCTAACGGCTTTCACAAACTGCTATCTCATACACTTTGAGTTTTAGTTATTTTCCTTGAGAAAAAGGTGGTACCTGTCACGGCTTGGCGGAGCTCCCCCTTGCCATCTGTCCACTTCCTCGTTAGTCTGTGGTCCTTGGGATGGACTTGCATCAATCTTCCAGAATTAATCATGGAGGCATTTAAAGTTTAATTCAACTATAAAGGGGAGGTGTGAATCAGCAAGTTCTCATACCAAGACGGCTGTCACTCTTTCTAATGCAGCAGGCACACGGGGAATGACACTGCACTGCTCTGATAGCCCTGGACTGCCACTCATTATATCCAATTTTGGGTTAATGAATTCAAAAAGGATTTTCTACTTAGGTGGAAATAAGCCAGAGTTAGGAATATTAGAGTTGTCTTCTAGCCTCTCTCCTTGGCCTTTCAGTCAAGAGAGAAATTTGTTATTAAGCAAGAACATAGAAATTATAGCTATTTTCCCTGTCAAAGCAATAATATGAAAATTCCTGGAGGAGAAAAAAAAGGCCTTTTAAAATGTTTTGTAATTTGGTTTTAACTACAGCTTCTTAAAGTACTTGTGTTTTAGCTGTTAATTTAGAAGAATTGTATTTGTGGGCTCATTGTCAAAAGACAGCTGTCTGAGGTAATTTCAGTGCCCAAATTGTGTCCACATCATTACATATGACAGTGGGGTTTTTGTTCATGTTGAGAAGAGGTAATGGCTATATTAGGTAAAAGTCAAAGGGACATAATGCCATCCTAGAGCTGACTGCTAAAGGAAAATACCCAGTTAGCTTCAAGAATTGTTTCGGTAGTCTAGGCCTCAGAACATACATAAGCTGCCATATAAACATATTTCCTGCTTTGAAGTGGGAGGAGCACATTATATGAGTTACAGTGAGCCAGAAATCTGCCATGTGCACGACCATTTGGATGCAGGCTTGTGTTCAAACTAAAGGGCACCACAGGAATGGAGAGCCCAAGGGTGCTGGGCTGGGGATGGAGGCCGGGGTCAAGAGCGCCACTGCGCTGACCCGTGGCGGGGCACAGCTGTGAACTCCGTGTTTGGACTGGAAATGCAGTCTGGTCCGCCCTGACACTGCCAGAACAGTGAGGATCAAGAAAAATCGGTGGAAAACCTTTGTATGCTGTCAACTACTAGAAACACACAAATCAGTATTACGGGTTTGGAGGCGTAGTTAATCCAAAATCTGTGACCATTTCACTGAATCCCTAGTTTTCAGTGCAGAACATCATTTCTGTACCCTTAGGGAGTGGCATTTGCTTCAGTGAAGGGGCCCCATGACTATGGCTGCCTCCCCATCTTTCCACGGCTTGGGGTGGGGGTGGGGGAGTGTTGGAAAAGTGGCTGCAAAGCCCCAGAGAGTGGAAAGCAAAGCCAGGGGTTCTCAGGGTTTTTTTTTTTTTTTTAACCTATGAATTTTATAAACCCATTTGGTGAATTTTTTTACCTGAGAAATTTATTTTTAAGTCCAGTATTTTTAAAGTTGAAATTATGCTTTTCCCATTATCTTTTAGCCAAGGGACACCTATTTGCTTTGGTTACTGAGAAATCTGGTTTCTTTTCTTGGTAAAAGAAATGAGAGCTTTCTCTTAAAGAGAAGTCCCTTGACTCTCCATTTGCCTGTCTTTGTCCTCACATGTTCAGGGTGGAGGTATGGACGTTGCAAACATCAAACCACTGCTCAGAGATAGACCGCTTTGGGAACAAGCCATCTGAAGGAAGCCAGGGACGCTGCTGTTTGTCCTTGTTGTTAACTACCTTCCAGTACGTGCTGCCTTTGAAGAAGAAGATGGAGTTGTGTGCATAGGAGTAGTAGGCTGAATCTATATTTCTGAAAGGATGGTTTTGTGGCTGTATTCCTGGAAAAGCTTTCGTAATCTTCATCGGGTAAGAATCAAGTACTTGATTTCTATTGATGTCAAATGCAAACACCTGCAAAGCAAACAAAAAGGTAAGACTGGCTTTTCTGGAAATCATTGATTTTTAGGCTAATTTTTAGCGATGAGGTAAGTAAATCTGTGATTAATTCTTGTGGCTTGAATTTCTTAATAATTTTCCATCTGACAGGATGATCCGCTGTTGCTGTACAGGTGGGCGGTAACTAGTGTTGTAACTAGCTTTGTACAGAACAGCTTCCAGCTAAGGACTGGGTGTCCATGAGGATGACAGAAGCCACACCTGGCTGGAAAGCTGCCCACTTACAAAGGACTCTTTGAAGAAATAAATTAACTGCTTTCTTCGGTCATAAAAGGCGGTGTCCAGGGGACTTGGGATGCCAGGAAATCCTTCTGAAATCAATTTAGGGTAGCTTTTTCCTTGTTCATCTTCTGTGTGGGCCTGATCCTTGTCATTGTCATATCTCCAGTATTGATTTCCTGAGAGCCAAACACAGAATCGCAACGTGGCTTATTACTATTAAATCACCGGAAATGACAAAGGACAGCTTTCAGTCTAGGTCCCAGCCAGCTGTGACGATCTGCCATGATTCCGGGAGAAAGCAGGACTTTCAACAGCCAAGTGAAGCCTCTGCTCAAATCCCCAGTTCCCCAGGTCTTGAATTACTTGCAGATTTGACCCCAGAATCTATTTCCCTTACACCTTCTCGTTGCTGTAGTCAGAATGTTGGCTGCCTCTCCCGTGCACCCCAGCCCACTTGTCAAAGGCGAAAACATCATGTGGTCTTTTTCACATAAGCATCTTATTTTTCTTCTTCCTTATGTCTAAAGATCTTCCCATAACACGGGGGCCCGTGGATTGTCCTGATATATTTTCTGATCCTAATCAATATAAGCCTTCTTTGTACAGAAAAAAAAATTCATATTTTCTATTGGATTCTACCTTTTTCCAGGGTTTTACAGTAATCTATTCTCCCACCAGCCCCATTGTACAAAATGAGGAAACTGGAGTAAAGAGAGTTGAAGCAATTCACCCAAATTCAGACGCCTAAGTTAAACCAGGGATACCACCTGGGCCTCCTGGAAATCAATGAAGTGACTTCCCACTGCCCTATGAAATAGTATCTTGTAATTCTGCTCCATTTCAGGATCTACATGGTAATTTTATGCTCTGAAACAACACAGGACTACTCTAAGCTCTCCTTACTACTCCCTAATCCTAAATATTTGCCATATGGTCAGCACACAAACGAAGAAGCCACTGAGTGTGGTACTTTTGTGTTTACAACCCATAAACCACCACAAGCAGTCACCTTCCTTAGCAATCAAATAGTGTATTTGGAAGAATTTACTTTTGGGGACAGTGTGACATGTCCAACTAGAGGACTGGAATGTTTTCTGTTCTAAAATATTCACAGCAAGTCAAATTTAAGATATTTTTAAAGCCCCAAGAATAAAATGCAGCTGTATTATAGCAATCCCCCATGGTGACCCAATTCTGTAATTAAGATTCTTTGTTGCCAGTATAAATTCTAGCTGGGGACATCTTATAGCACTCAGAAATGGGCTTCCAACTCTCAAAGACCCGAGTTATGAAAGTCCAGCTTGAGGCGATTTCTCTGCATCAGCTGAACTAAAATAATTCTTCCATTGTGTGATCTGAAGGCAAATTAAGAGCAGATTTAAACCCAGGTTTCCTATGCAGCAAGATTTGCATGTGATATTCTCTCCATTAGGCTCTTTCTGGCCTTAACTCCTATGAAGCCAATCTGGAGCAAAACGGTTGTATTCCTAGGACTAGGCAGAGAGGGCGCGCACAACACGTATCTGGGGGCCTAAGCTTTGGGCAGGGGAGATCACACGTTTGGTTTGCAAAGGCAGGCTGCCTCCGCGGCACCAGCACAGAGGCCTGCACAACGTGCTTTGCAAATAAGGGAAGAGGCAGAAAGCAGCCCAGTCCCGATGGTGTCCGAGGCTCCCCGTGCTCACGCTGACCCTGACGGTCCAACCTAACCTCACGTGTGAGCGCCCCTCTGAACCTGCGTGGGCTTGGCTGTCTCAGGGACGCTTGTTCACTCTCAAGCCCTAAGGCTCTGCTGCTTCTGGCATCCGACCACCCCCAGCCATCAGTCCCATCCCCGCCTCCCCCAGCACACACGCCACCATTCCAAGCATCATTTTCCCACTGGGTCCTACCCATCCTTCAAGTCTGGGTCAAGCCCTAGCTCCTGGGTGGCACTGGCATCTGGGTTCCAGCTGGCAGCGATCACCTCACCTGCTCATTCTCTGCTTCAAACATACTCTCCTATTGGTAGGCAGCTAAGGTTTTTCCCTCCAGAACCAGATTAAAACTTCTGTAGGGAAGACCCTTTCTCACAGTTCTTTGGCAACCACCTCAGTGTTTAGCACACTTCATTCATTCCCTCATTCATTCATTCATTTGACATTCAGTGCCTTCTTCAAAGATCAGGGGATGATATAACACAATCGCTGTGCTCAAAGAGCTTCCAGTTTGATGGACCAGACAGAAATTAGGTGATCATGAAAGCGTTTGCAACAGCTTCCCTGGTAGGGACTCAAAACATTTGTTCTGAAGGCATCTGTTTAACAAGGAAGGCATAGAACCATCCAGAAGAACCTTTACCTTTAAAAAAATAACGTTCATCTCTTCTCCATGTCCAGATGTGGACAAACGCGTCTATGTTTTGGGCTGGGATTCCACGCCAGCCAGTGAGGATTTGGATCGGGTCCCCGTAGCGAGTCCGGTTGTTTCTATTTTCATAAAGCCAGTACCAGCTGCTGCGGAAAAAATACGTGCTGAATCTCATCACGTCTCCGCGTTGGGTTCTCTCTTTGCGAATCCAGTCAAATACAGCATCAAATGATCCTTCACAGGAACCTTAAAAGAAAAATCCAGCCACTTCTCACCTGGAGCAAAACCAACCATTCCTGCTTTCATGTGTGACTTGAGACAATTACAAAGCTCCAGTTTTCTATTAAAATGTCTTAAATCAGAACACCGTATAAGACTGTCCTTCCCTGGCTGAGTAGAGGGAGCTGGAGGGAGGGACCTTAGTGGCCTGCAGCAGTCCTGGCTCACACGAGTTCTGTATATATTAATAGTGCTCCCAGGTCACTCTCTAGTGTCTCCATTTGATGCTAGTTATATGATCACCCTAAATATTGCTGATGCCTCTTCGGATGGACGATCAGAGTTCATTAGAGGGAAAAAGTTTAGTTCTGCACACACACAAGAGTAAGATTTCCACTGACAGGAACAAATGTGTCCTGGCATTTGTTATTTATTCTCCGAAGATGCTGAGTGCTGACAACAGAAATGGGGGTGGTCTCTGTTTTAAATGGAAAAGTGGAGGGTAGCTTTCCTTCCCTTCAGTCTCTCTGCTAAATCATTAATCACGTCAATTAAATAGCCACTAGCACTTTGGCCTGAACAAGTAGCGATAAAGCTTATCCCGGCAAGGTGGCTCCATTCTTTGCCTTGGGACTGCAGCAAACTTACACTGGCTTCCGTTCCCTGTAGCTCAACACAGATGCCACCACCCAGGGGGCCCACTGCTGTTCAGAAAATGACCATGTTCTCCTCCTTCCTCCAGGTCACGTAACAGCGCATGAAAGCGAGAACACAGGAGAGAACGTCCATGGCAGTGTTTTGCTCTCCACCTGTGGCTACAGTCTGGCCACAGTCACCTTTACCTGAAAGAATTGGCATTGCAGTGCTAGGAGGGTCTCAGTGGCCATTGGGGTTGTGCTGCTTTGTGCTCTTTGGGGCCAGCCTCCTGGTGAGGAGCGAGTGAGGTCCTGTCACGCTCTGAGATACCACATTTCCTCTGAGCTCTGAGGAGTATCTCACTCACGACAGCCTTACCGTACAGCTTTTGAACTGCTTTTCTGTCCAGCCAGTCCAACTCAAATGCAGGCTCCTGGGATATATAATTTGGCTGCATTATGGATCCTGTCCTGTAGGTGTGGGGCAAGCCGAGGACATGGCCAATTTCATGGACAGCCACCTAGAGGGAACACAAACCATTGGTGTGGTGCCAACCCTGGGACCCCTCCCATCACAGGGCAGGCCTGTGTTGAGAGCAGAGGAGCCTGTTAAGCAGAAAGGAAACAGTGGTGGGGAACTTTCTCAGAGGATGTGCACACTTGCCTGGAGAAGCTCTGGCTTTCCGGACTCCTGCATTTTGCGCCGTCGCTACGAGAGTGTGAGGCCACTTACTTTGAGAAGGCTGATGCCCACGTCACTGGTGGGAGGTGTGAAGTGCTCGTCATCGTCAAAGTGGATATCGCCCAGGCGCCAGGCATGTGCAAACTCCTGTCCACTGCCGTCAAAAACCCGAGGACAGCCCAGGTGCCGGCCTGGCCAGGGGAGAGGGAGGTGGCCCAGGTGTATCTGGATGCCCGCTACAGACTCCCCATCCCAGGGCCTCACTGCTTGGCAGCAGAAGCAACTCTGGGTTAACTCCTCAAAATGAGGGGTGCACAAGATTCAGCTTGTTTGTAAACAGTGTGTTTTTAAAGTCTACAGACATAACAGAGCTTCATACCAAGGTTGTGGCAGCCTAGATAAGAGACTGTCCACTCTGCCCGCGAAGTGAAAGAGAGAGAGAGAGAGAGAGAGAGAGAGAGAGTGTGTGTGTGTGTGTGTGTGTGTGTGTGTGTGTGTGATACAGGAGGTTCTGCCCAGTGGCCACATTCTGTCCATTTCTATCATTTTTTGACAAACCACCCTGTGTATGTCTTACATTGGGAAGAGGATCCAGGGAAAGGCAGGGCAGCCATTCTCATCCTGGTTCCCACGAGGGGCTGTGAGAGGCTGCTTTGTCCAATCCTGCCCAGCTAGGAGGAGGTGACCCTGGGCGAGAAGCGCCCATCCACTGGCTCTGGCCAGTACAGGACAGTCAGGAGCAGGATCCCAGTTAGGCTGGTCTGCGTTGTGCTCCCATGAGCACACTGGGCTCTCGGAGCGTTGCTTGTGGGTTGACCTGCTCTTAGACAAGCAGAGGGACCTGCATTACTCTCCCCAGGTGACCACTCAGGGCTCTGTTCCTGGGCCTTACAATGACTCATATTAAAGCAACATCTACAGAGGGCTTACAATACGCCCACGCCTGGGACAGCAGCCATCTCAGAACACCCTAGGAGGCCGGGGGTGGCGCCATCGCACTGCAGGGGACCCAGGCAAGCGGGAGAGGTTACCGAGGTCGCCTGTTCCAGCAGGGGTGCCTGTGATGCTAACTGGGCCCTACCTCAGGCCGGGAAGTGGGGGGACACAGTGCCTACAGAGAGGACAGGGTGGGTTCGGTCTCCCCTATTTACCTCGGCCAAAACCCAGTTTTATGTCAACCGTGGCTTCCGGTGAGGTGAGATCTTCCTGGAAGTCCAGCGGCATCACCTCGCTCCACATCCTGAAGGCCAGCCTGAGGATGTACCTCTGCTCGTCCACGGAGAGCTGGCTGCTGTAGCCCTCCCGCACCAGCCTCCACGTCAGGGTCTTTTTGGAGAAGGCCCAGGCGCCCCCACCGTGCGGGGCGTCCTGGGGAGGGCCGGGCGCGGGAAGCAGCGTCTGCAGGAAGCGCCGGGGGCGGGCCCGGGGCAGCGGGCGCGGCAGGGCTGCGGGCAGCAGGGGCCGCGTGTCGGGGACGCCGCAGCGCGGCCTGTTCATGGCCTCCAGCGTGGCCGCATCCAGCTCCCCGCTCGCCGGCAGCGCGTTGACCTTCTGGAAGCTGCGCACGGCCTGGGCCAGGGCGGTGCCGGCGGGGCCCTTGGGCGGGTCCTCAAGGCGGGGACCGCGTGACGCTGGGGGCATGGACCCCGTCCCCGGGGGTGCTTGCGCCCAGCCATATTTGGAGAGGAATCGCTGCGGAGGGAAGCACATGGAAGGGCAGCGCCATGGCCTGAAGGCGTATTACAGCGGTGTGTGCGTATAGGCGTGCCCGGATATTGTGCATTTGCCTGTTGTTACACATGTTTGCACTTGGGATGTGAAACATACATGCCCTGTTCATCGGTTGCTTGTGAGAGGTCCCCACCTGAGGAGGCGCCGGTGCAGGGGCCTACCGGTGCCTGGGTGTCCGTGTGTAGGTGCACGCGCCTGTGTAGGCGTGTACATGTGCCTTCGTGTGCGTGCGTGCCCCGCTCCGTGCAGGTGCCTAGGTGTGCACGTGCCTGCGTGAGCCAGGCACGCAAGTGTCCGCGAGTGCGCCTGCGCGTGGTGGAGGTTTCAGGCGTCGCCTACCTGCGCCGCGAGGACGTCGGCGATGGGCTGGGCCCGGCGCCGCGGGGACGGCCGTAGGTCCGAGTGGTCCCGGCTGTGGAAAAGTGCCTCCGGCTGGGCCGGCGCGGGGGCGGCGAGTAGGCAGAGCAGCAAGCTCGGAGGGAAGATGGAGGCCGCGTGCATGGCCCAGCCGAGCCCCGCCTCCCGCCTGGGCGCCTCCGTGCAGCCCGGGCTCCGCTCCTCCCGCGGCGCAGGTCCCCGTGCTTTTATGGGCAGCCCTGGGAGACGCCAGGCTCCCGGGCGTTCGTCACGCAGGCCCGAAGCGTGCCCAGCAGGAGGCCGCGGCAGGCGCTGGCTGCGCTGCCTTTGAAGGCCCCGGGAGCGCCCCTCGTGAGCGGGTGCGAACGCCTCCCCTCGCCGCGGCTGTTTGCTGTGCGCTCAGCGAGCGCCCGCGAGCTGGCGGCCGCCGGATCCCGTTTCCAAGGTGAGGTGCGGGCGGGCGGGCCGGCCGCGCGGGGGAGCTGCGGGGCGGCCGTGGGGTCCGGCGTGGGGTCCGGAGGCGCGGAGCTCGGCCCCCGGCAGCTGTGTCCGCAGCGCCCCCGCGTGGAGTGCCCGCCCGTCGGTTTGCTCGTGGTTCGGGTCCAGTCTTTCTCTTGGAAGGCTCGGGTTCGGGGAGATGGTTTCCCAAACGTGCGTGCGTGTGTGCGTGTGTGTGTGTGTTTCTCTTTATAAAAGGACTACTTAATCAGTGTAAGAAAATATGAATTTTAAAAGTACTGAGAATAAAGGACGAAATCCTATTATTCAGACAGTGACGTTTTGGTGAACAACCTTGCTGATACCGGTATGGTGCGGGCATGGAGAAGTATTTGTATGTGTTTGATTTCACATAAACCATAATTCTCTCATTAGTTGAAATAAAACTGTGGAACGTCAGACATCTTTCCATTTTCATGAACATAGGCATTTCTCCTACTTAACGGCCGCATGGTGTCAGGAGTTTCCGTATGAGGACAGAGTAGAATTACCTGGGGTTCTAGAACAGCCCCGCTACATTTCCCTCACCAAGGAGACTTTTGGAGGAGGAGGAGAAGACGTGGGGAGGGAAACTGAGGCAGGGCCGGATTCAGCGGCCAGAGATCTCGGACGGGTCACGTCCAGAGCGGGAGGGAAGTGAGGCAGGCCCTCCCGGCGCTAAGACTGCGGGCGAGAGCCCGGGGTTCCGACGTCAGAGGCCCGCTGACAAGAGCGAGCAGGCGGGCCGGTGTGCAGGGCCGTCCTGAGTCACTCCTGCGTCCACCAGTCAGCAAGTAGTCCTTGCTGCCCAAGGGACAGGGGACGTGAACGCGGTGGACTCATGCTTTGCCCTCCTGGAACTTCTCTCACGTGGGGGTGACAGACGATAAATAAGACAATGAGGGAAAAATTCAAATAGTGACGAGCTAAGAATATAAATAGGGAAAGCAAGTGCCTTTCAGGTTGGGGGAGCCCGTATTAAGGGGGGCAGGCTAATTCCGACATGGAACAGAACTGAGCGCTCCGAGCTGGAGCTGGTGTCGCCCAGCCTGGGTCTTGACGGGCTAAAAGGCCCGGTGGTGCTGTCCGTCCCACCAGCTCTGGCCCAAGGCTGCGCTTCTCCAAGCCAGTCTGCAAACTCGCACCAGGGCTGATCCGAATGACAAGGAGATCCCGCCTAAGGACCGCAGGTGCGAGGAGTTTTCTGCTGAAGGGTCGTGTTTCCCGACACTAACGTTTCCCTGTGTTGTGTAGTTGCTGTCATGTAGCTCTGAGCAACGGGGCGCAGGGAAGTGTGTCGCCCTTCGGAGTGCTTGCGTTCCTCTCACAGCACTCTCCTCGTTTATTACTAAGCCTTTGGATGGACTGGCTTCCCAAGGCTCGGAGTGTTTGATCTGCCAAATTGCTTCTTCCAGGTAAATTGGATTTTGAGGAAATCAGTTGGATCCAGGAGGAAAAACGGCAGAGGAAGTCACGTGACTTACAGTAACTCCAGAGTGAGGGACCAGGGCTTCTGGAGAAGCTGCTGGTTCCTGCTCTCTGCAGCATATTCCCCATCTCTGAGCCTTGGAGGGGTTTGACTGGAAGTTTCTAGAATCTCCCTAAATGCAAAGATGACCCAGTGGTCAGTAGGGAAACCTTTTTCCTAAAACACATCATTTACAAAAATGGGTTTGCATGTTCTCAGCACTGAATAACATAACATTTTGTAAAAGATTCCCTTAAGTATTTCCCCAGGATGCTTTTAAGCCTGATACACAGTGCGGACGGAGTCACTTCTGACTCTGAAAGTGAACATACTGCAGGAGGCCCAGCTGTTTGGGAGTCCTAACTGTTTGCTCAAGGGCAGGCCTGTTTGTCATTTTCAGCTGCACATTACCGCCTGAGAAACGAGAAAAGGCTGTTCAGTCACTGTCCTTCTGAGTTCCTTCTCTCTGGACTTGGCATTTCAGCCCTGTCTCAAGCACAAATACACCCTTTACCCACCCTGGGCTGGCTTAGGATCCTAGGCCTCCCCGGGAAGATTCATTCATATTTTCCCCACATAAGGTTCTGTGGTTTGGGGTTCACTCGTCTTCCACGTAGGAAGCATGCTGGGAATGCTGAGTGTCTGGTTGGGGGGCGGGGGAGCAGGAAGCCACACTCACTGTTGCCTGCATGTCTGCCAGGGCTGTGTGAGAAGCTTCCAGATGCCACTACAAACCGTTGACTTTGAGATTATGATCACTGTTGCCGGTGGCCTAGTGATTGTTGCATTTGTGCTGATCTGTGTTGTCATCTGTCTTTACGGGAATAACACCCCCTCAAGTGGGATGCCTGGGCCCTCGGCTCCAGCAGGGTCATTCCCTGCCCTGAAGCCACACCCCGGGTGAGTCAGGACCAGCAGGCGGTTTGAAAAGGCAAAGGCGGGGGCTGTGGAATCCTGGCGGGGCCCCTCTGGCTTGGGGCTGTGAGCTCCTGAGCGGAATGTCCTCAGCTCTGGGTGGAGTTCCCCTCAGCGGGTGGCTTCACACGCTGGCGGGGCCTTCCCTCTGCCCAGGCGCGGCCCCCTGGGGGCTGTGGGGGGGCACGTGAGTGAGTCTGCCTCTGGCACGCCAGGGGACGGCCGCCTGGGGCTCCTGCCCGAGCCGGGGAGCTCTCGGGGTGTCCCCTCATTCATTGCCCATGGCCTTGGGGACTGTGGGGTGCGCCTAGAGGACTGTGGGGAAGCTGAGCTTATTCCCCGGGACTCCTGACATTGGGTACAGCTCAGGATAATTCATGTGGAGCTATTTTCAAAATATTCTCCACTTTATCTGGAGCAGAGGAACAATTTTCCATGAGACGAATGAATGTTTTAAGTTTGGGGAAGCGAAACCTGTGAGTAGGATGGTGAAACCCACGGCCTGGGGCTCGGCCAGCCTGCAGCACCTTCCCCATTGGGCGCTGACCGGGTCAGACTGGGCAACCTGGTGACCTGCCGCTGTTTGTGTTCCTTGATTCATTTTACCCTTATTTAATACTTACAAAAGTGTTTGGGGAGGAAAGGGCTGTCAGGGTAGAGAGGTGCAGTTAGGCTGGGGTCACATGTGTGACTTGCCCTGTGAGACCCTCCAGCCAAGTTTAAGAAATGGGCTTTAAAAAAGTAAATGTAATACTTTCTGTAAAATCTCTGAAACAAACTGTGAGAATCAGTGGCACCGACACAAAAGGCAGGCGACTCGGTTTGGAGGACGGCCGCCTGAGGCCGCTGCCTCCCTGCTTACGGGGGACAGGTCCTGGGAGGGGGCGCTGCGGCCGTCCCGAGGCAGGGGCTCCCCTGCGTCTCCGGGCTGCCGCCCTGTCCCGTGGGGCAGACTGTCTGCCGAGCTCGCTTGCCTCCTGGCCTTGTTCTCCGTGGAGGGTGGGGGCCGTGCTGTCTCTGCCCCCAGGGGCCTAGCCGAGGGCCCAGAACGAGTAGGTGCCAGGGGCCGCGACCTGGCTCTCACCCCCACGGGTCTAGGAATACTTTTCAGCCGAGAAGCCTCTAAATTCAGGCACAACAGTAAATCCTGAATGATATTGTTTTAGTCTTCGCTAAGAATACGTTACAAGTTGCTCCGTGATCACAGACGTCCAGCGCTTTGCCCGGGTATGGCAGAGGTGCTTCTCCGAGCTGCGGCGGGAGGCAGTGGCTCCGGCCTCTCTGGGGACGGGAACTCAGGCTCGCAGGGCGGCAGTGACTCTGCTGGTGCCCGGCAGCGAATCAGGCCGGGGAGAGTAGGGCCCGGCTCTGAGTGCTCCACCCACCCCTCCTTCTGGCGCCACGCTGCTCTCCCACCTGACTTCCTGACCCTCTGGACTAACTTGTTTCCTGTCCCCAGCAGAGAGGTCCAGGTGTGGTCCCCTCTGGAAGGGCTGGTCCTGGTCCTCACCGAGCCTCAGTGGGGGCTCCATGCAGCAACTCTGTGCGAGTATGGGGCTGAGGGCCCCAGGGCCCGTGGGGCACGGATGGGAGACGTGGGCAGCAGTTGGGTCAGGACAGTGAGGTAGTTTTATGGTGTCGTCTGGGTTACAAGGGCTTGATTCTGTACGGAAAATTCTGTATTATTCATACACATCGGGCCTGTCACCAAGGTTAGTTATTTGCCTATCCTGTGACTAACGTCAGGATGGCAGGGGTTGGGGGGTTGTTACCCTTTTCCCCCACCCTCTGCCCAAACACCCCAATCCTAAAAAATAGCATCTCTGGTGGCAGGAAGTAGTCCAGCTCCCTAACAATGTTGAGCTTGAGTCACACATGACCAGCCAAGTTCCACCTCTGTGCCAGGGCGGATGCCTCTTCCTGCCTTTGAGTCTAGTTTATATAGAGACCTGCAAGTCCTGGGGAGCCCCCACTGAACGTCCATGGTCCTAGGGAACCCCATTAGATGGAGGATGTATCTTGCACTCAAAAAAAAAAAAACAACCCCTTATCTAAAGCCCTTACAGGTCTGCATCACTTAACTTTGCATGCGGCATATAATTTCTCCCAAGTCCCATTTTCCTTGTCATAAAATGGACCTGCCTGATAGTTATTTTGCGTAGTCAAAGGAGGGAAAATTACATTCACTGCACATAGTAAGGCAATGGACTGGACTCGAGTGGTTCAGCAATATTAGAAGGAACCATTTTTCTAGATAACTTCAAATCTGCTTATGATCCAGAGGGTCTGTGCTTGTACCTTTGTGTTAGTCAAAAATGAAGAAAGACAGTTGAAAACGGAGAGACCTGTGCAGCAATCTGACCTCCAAGCATGGGTGAGAGGATTGCCTCCCCTGGTCCAGGTATGGTCAGCCCCACAGAGGGTCTGTGGCAGGAGCTGCATCCTCATCTCACAGCAGAGCTGCGTGTAGCCTGCCACAGTTCCACCGGCTCTAGTCCCAGGAGGGGACATTCAACCCGGAGGTTGGCCTCAAGACATTGGTCTGGCAGCCCTGGTGTGGCCAGCACAGCTTCTTGGCAGCTGCAGCTCCCACACAGCTGACACAGTGACCTTGGGGAGGCACACGGGCCTGGGGCTGGGGCCCTGGAAGGTGCCCCCAGAGTCTTAGCACCAAGTGCTTGAGGCCGGGGCTTCCCCAAGAACAGGAAAGGTGACCGACACAAAAGGGCTCCTGGAGATGGAAGGATTCTAAACTCAACAATCCAGCTTTGACTTTCAAATCAGAAAGCAGCAGTGGGATAGGATCTCTTGTAGTCAGAAAAATGGCTATTTTTGAATTTCTGCCAGGTCACACCAAGATCTAACAACTAATTACCAGTGGCTCCTCTCTCCTGCTGTTCATGTGATGTGCTGGTTTACGAGTGCTGATGGGAATAATAGTGGTATCTACTCATCAGGGTTGTTTAGACTGGAGATCAGAGAGGCAAAGCCCTATGCCTGGGGCCGTGGCACACAGGGGCTGCTCAAT